TGAGTGAAGAGGAAAAAGCCAGGCTGACTCCTTTTGAGCTCCTGCCACCAGGCTTTCAGAGTTGTAGACAAATTGTAAGTAAGTTAATGGGTCAGATAAATTATGCTTCTATAGTATGGAATGTTAGAACTTTGGGATGGACCTTAGGAATCATCTAGTCTTTTCCACCTCCTGATTTGCAGCTCAGAATCAGAAAGGGACTACACACTAGAAACTGTTTTAAGCTCCTTTCCAGCTCTGATGTCATCTGATTCACTTCAGGAAAATTAAAAGTTGTGAGGAGGGGAAGGGAAAGGGGGAAAGAGGAAGGAAGCTTAGTCAGCACACACAGTCATCCCCCCCCAAAAATAGGCTACATTACCATAGTCTTAGACGCTTCCCACCTTCCCACATGAATTGCCTTTTAGCTGTGGGATAGGCCTTTCTAGTGGCTTCTGCCCATGCCTTCCTCTACCCCATTTCCTTCCCCCTCTAACCCAAGTGATTATTGTAAGAACTTGGGAGAGGAAACAGAAGAGAGAAAAGTAGCAACTATAAAAAGCAAATCAGTCACTTTTGACTTCTTAGAGGCTGCTGTTCTTGGTGTTTGTCATGCATTTCTTCTCATGGCATACTGTTTTAAAGACAAAACTCTCAGAAGATACCGTATATAGTGTTACCAATAGATAAAGTGAAGACCAGAGTTTGGGATTCTATTAAGACAGGCTTGTGCAAGCTCAGGGTTAAAGGGGACCTAAGAGGTCTTCCAGTTGAAATCCTCCTGTAATAGCCCTGTCAAGTGGTTATCCAGTCTCTGTTTGGTTACCACCAGTGACAGGGAGCTCTCTACTTTCATAGTCAACCTGTTCCATTTGTAGGACAGGCTGGCAAGAAGGCATAAGTGGGAATTTAGGCACCAATGCCAGGAATCCAGGAGTGCCTCAGTCCAGTCACCCTTCCTACCCCAAAACAATAGCAGATTGTAGATAAGGTGCTACTCTGTAGCAAGATTGGCCAGTGCCTTATCCTCTCATACACATCTCCGATCAGCGGTGTTGGAGCCCAGGGCCTAGCCTAAAGGCCTTTGTAGATAAGGTGCTACTCTGTAGCAAGATTGGCCAGTGCCTTATCCTCTCATACACATCTCTGATCAGCGGTGTTGGAGCCCAGGGCCTAGCCTAAAGGCCTTTGAGGGCCTTTCCCCCAAGTCCAAATCTAAACTTTGGGCTGTCATGCTTCTCTGGAGACTTGGTTGGATGTACAGGAAAGTAAAGCAATGACTAGCACACTTAGGCTCATGTGTGAGGAAGAGAAACAGAGTGACTGGTCCTGGGTGCACTGACCCAACCGCCGCTGGAAGCAGAGGGGAGGCCTCCCATGAGATTACTGTCTTTTCTGTCATTGAACACACACAGTGTGTTCATCTACCAGTAAGCGTGCCCCAACCTGAATCTTAGAGTATGAGCAATTAGATTAGCAATTGTCTAGAGTCCTGTAGGGTGAGGGAGGGGAAAGTAGGAGAGAACTGAGGAAATAGGCAGAGACTTTTTCTCCAAAATAAGAACTAGAGTTTACAGTAATAAGTCATAAGGGAGAGAAGTGCTGATCAAGGCCTAGGAGGAAACAGGAAAGGAGAAGATCAGGAGAAATGTTGATGTAGGGAAAGGAGGGGTTTTTTTTCTATATAGAGAAAGGATGGGTGAAGCATACTGAGCTGCTGCTTCCACCCACCAAGGCTACCTAAGAAGTCAGATCTTTCTTTTCCATAGCAGTTCTTTAGGTATTTGAAAGCAATAAACACATTTTCCTGGGTATTCTCTCCTCTGGAATAAATATTCTCATCTGGACCCACTCCTCTTGGCTAATTCTCACCTTGAGACAGGGCCTGTGTCTGAACATCACGGTCCAGTAGTGGTGTAGAACAGGGCGAGACTGTCGCCTTGTTCTGGGCGTGGTGAACTGATGACTGCCTCCTTGTTAGACTGAAGGTTGGCTCTTGAATATCCTAACCTGCGGCTTTTTGTCCATCCTTTCTCAGAAAGAGCCTTATAATGACAGGCTCATACTCTTAAGTTTTAGGATTAGTTTAGGCTGTCAGTGACAGGAGAAAAAAAAGCCTTTTCTCAAAGTTCTTTGTAAGCAGTTATAGTTTTTAAAATGTCATATCTTCAAGAAAGTTCATGGAAAGAATGAAAACAAACTCTGACAGGTGTATGTTCCTAATAACGCCTAGTTCATTTCAGAAAGGGCTAGCTGCCTTTCTCTCCCGTGGGGTGGGAAGCCACAGTCAGCCATAATGCTGGTCTTCACTGAGCTTCAGGCTTTGGCTATATTGGCTCTGAAACTGAGCGCTAGGTGAGATACCCCTTGTTCCTCTGAGTTGGGCCTTGAGTGGGCCCCAAGCCTCCCTGCTCAGCCACTGGTGAGGAAGGTCTGCTTTGGACTTCGCAGAACTCATTGAAAGTGCGATGTACCTCTACCGTGCCACGGGGGATCCCACCCTCCTAGAACTTGGAAGAGATGCTGTGGAATCCATTGAAAAAATCAGCAAGGTGGAGTGCGGATTTGCAACAGTAAGTGTTTCCACAGGCCCAAGAATTGGGAAGTGTTTTCCCTTGCTGAGGAGCTTCTTTAAGGGTGGAGCTTTGGGAGTTCTAGAATATTAGCAGTAGGGGGGATCTTAGAGATGTACATTATGCCCTTATTTTATAGATGCGGAAACTAAAGAGCAGAGATGCTGAGAACTTCAGGTCACACAGCTAGTTGGAACTAGGATTTGTTCCTAGGGATCTCGACCTCATACCATTGGCATTCCCCCTGCCCCAGACGTTCTTTGTCTGAATGGGCTACTTGGCAAGGGTGAGTTTTGCGAAAAGTTTTTTGAGAGGGCTTATAAAATGGATTTTAAAAGGAAAATCCAGAGTCCCTTAGTCCCATATTCAAACCTGGGCTCCTTAACAAAACAGTCCTACTCGTCTCACAGATATTTATTGAATGTTCTTCACATGCCAGGCACTGCGCTAGGCTAGAGGGTTCTAGCGATGAAGAAGGATCAAGACCCTGCTCTCATAGAGCTCACACTTCAATAGGAAAAACAACGAATGCGCATCTAGGAGACAGAAAGAAAGCCAGTGTGGCTGGAGTGGAGCCAGTAAGGAAGAAAGTGGGAAGAGGGGAGGTCCCAGTGGTAGGCAGGGGTTAGATCATGCACGGCTTCATTTGTGTATAGGCCATGGGAGAGAGTTTGGATTTTGTTCTGCTTGGAATGAAAAGCCATGGTAGGATTTACAGCAGAGCAGTGATGTGATCTGATTTGTATTTTAGAAATATCACTCTGGCTGCTCTGTCCGTTGAGTGAAAGGGTCATGGGTAAGAACCATCTCACATCCCTGCAGGACTCAAGCAAGCAAGATATAAATAAATAATCATTAAAGACACATAAAAACCAGACGTATAAGAAAACAGTCTGGAAGAAAATTACCTGAAAAGACTACAGACTTTGTGTTGGGTATGGAATTTTTTTTAAAAAGCCAAAAATCTTTTTTGCAAAATTTTGCAAAATGTGATCATTTTCTATAAGTAAAATATGTATACGTATTTTTAGAGAGAAGACATGTGTGGGGGAAAAATAAAGCAATGATATGTTTGGTTTCTAATATGTTCTATTCTGTGAAAAGGCAAAGTGATAAGCCCACTGGGGCCTTCTTAGGAATGCTAGACTTATTTCCATGAAAATAAAGCCCTTTGGACGTTTTCCGAGGTGAATGATGGGAACAGGCGTCTGACCTTTGTCAAACAGGGCAAGACAGTAATAAGTCTTGGTACATCAAGGCCATATTTGAGTCATATTTTTTGTGTAAGATAGATGTCCACTGAGAATTAGTTTTGTTTAAATGTATTGCTAATTCTGAGAAGCTAAAATAAATGTTGTAGCAAGTAGTCTTACTCATTCATGCCTTAAATTCAGTTGAAATTTTCTAAATAAGACTCCTTATTAGTTGTTCACAATAGCAAAAACTTGGCAACCACCTTCCTGCTGATCAGGGAAGGATTCGCTAAGTAAATGATGGTACATTTTTACAATGGAATACTGTGCCATCATTACAAGGGATGATTAGGTCTATATCCGTAGTCAAAGAGGGGTAGGATAAAGGGGACAGGAGATTGTCATGTCACATAGGAAGGTCAGGGCGACCTTTCTGATGAGGCAGCATTTGAACAGAGACCTGAAGGAAGGGAGGGAGCAAGCTATGAGGGTATCTGGAGGAAGAGGGCTCCAGGCTGAAATAACAAATGCCAGGAACCTGAGACGGGAGCATGTCACTCGCTCAGGGAACAGAAAGGTCATATGGCTGGAACTGCAATAGCAAGGATTTAGAGTAGTGAGAGAAGAGGATAGGGAGGGGTCAGGGGCCAGATGAAGAAGGATCTGGTAGGCCAAGGTTGGGACTTGGGTTTTTAGCCTGCGTGAAAGGGGGTGTCACCAGAGGGTTTTGAGTAGAGGAGTGACAGGTAACACTTAGGATATAAATATTCTAGAGGGTAAAGATGGAAGCCAGAAGCCCAGTTAGAAGCTGTTGTGGTCATCTAGGTGAGAAAAGGTGGTGGCTTGGGAAGGAGTGAAGCTCTGGAAAGTTAAATGACTTGCCCAGAGGCAGGCCCTCAGCTGCTTACTGGTGGAGCAGAAATTTGTATGGGGTGGCCTGATCCTTACTGTTGAACTGTCATGCTGTTCTGACTTGCTGCCTTCTCCCCGTGGCAGATCAAAGATCTGCGAGACCACAAGCTTGACAACCGCATGGAGTCGTTCTTCCTGGCTGAGACCATGAAATACCTCTACCTTCTCTTTGATCCGACCAACTTTATCCACAACAATGGCTCCACCTTCGATGCAGTGATAACCCCCTATGGAGAGTGCATCCTGGGGGCTGGGGGCTACATCTTCAACACGGAAGCCCATCCCATCGACCCTGCTGCCCTGCACTGTTGCCAGAGGCTGAAGGAAGAGCAATGGGAGGTAGAAGACTTGATGAGGGAGTTCTACTCTCTCAAGAGGAACAGGTCGAGATTTCAGAAAAAGACTGTGAGTTTGAGGCCATGGGAACCCCCAGCAGGGCCAGGAACATTCTCCTCTCCTGAGGAGCAGGCAAGGGAGGAGCCGCCTGCCAAGCAGAAAATCCCACTTCTCAGCTGCCCTAGTCAGCCCTTCACCTCTAAGTTGGCATTACTGGGGCAGGTTTTCCTAGACTCCTCATAACCACTGGATGATTTTCTATTTTTATTTTTTTGAGAGTAAACTATAATAATAAATCTGCTTTTGGTTATCAAGTTTTGGTTATCATGTTTTACACAATCAACTATTTCATGAGATTTTATTCAAAGAGAGGATTTGTGGCTAATAGTTATGAATCTAGTTTATTTTTCTCATACTGTTGGAGAAACAGCTAAATCCAAAGTTAGCTGGCTCCGAAGACCCCGGGGGTTGATGATTGACTCTCCATTTGTGGCTAATAGTTATGAATCTAGTTTATTTTTCTCATACTGTTGGAGAAACAGCTAAACCCAAAGTTAGCTGGCTCCAAAGACCCCAGGGGTTGATGATTGACTCTCTCTTCCTTTTCTGGTGTCTTTGGGGAGGCTGTTGTTACAAATGTATTTCTTTGTTAGTTCTTGCTCCTGTGCTTCTGCCCTTGCGTGCAACAAAGATTTGTTAAGCATCTATGTGTACCAGACACAGCCCTAGAGGTCTAGCAGTGAACCAGGCAAACAATTTCTATTCTTGTGGAAGCTAAATTCTAGCAGAGAAAAATAAACTAGTAAATATATAAAATAACATTATGATAAATTCCATGAAGAAAATAGGGTGCTGTGCTAGGAAATAATGAGAAGAGTTAAACTACTTTAGTTAGATAGGATGGTGAAGGAAGGCCTCCCTGAGGAGGTGAGCTTTTAAAATTTGGAAAAAACTTTTTTTATTTTTTTCGTTTTATTTTATAAACTTTTGTAAATTTTTAAATAAAAGTAGAGAGAATAAGATAGTAATCCTTCATGGTCTCATCACCCATCTTCAACAAGCCCAGCCTCAAAGATGGTGGACTCATGGCCAACCTTATTTCATTTTATATCCACATTAGATTATTTAGGATTCCCAACAGCATGTCATTTCGTCCATAAAAGTATTTCAGAATGCATCCCAGAAGCACACCTATAAAAATCAATAATATGGGCCGGCCCGGTGGTGCACTGGATAGTGCGCCGCTTGGGAAGCGCGGCGGCGCTCCCGCCCAAGGGTTCGGATCCCACATACAGACCGGTTCCCGCTCACTGGCTGAGCGAGGCGCGGGAGCAACACTGAGGGTTGCGATCCGTTGCCAGACACGGAAAAAAGACAAAAGACAAAAAAAAAACAAAAAAAAATCTTTAGGGCCGGCCTGTGGCTCACTCGGTAGAGTGCGGTGCTGCTAACACCAAGGCCACGGGTTCGGATCCCATATAGGGATGGCCGGTTCGCTCACTGGCAACACCAAGTCGAGGGTTAAGATCCCCTTACCGGTCATCTTTTAAAAAAAAAAATCAATAATATTCCTAAATATCTTATAATATCTAATTAATATTCAAAATTTTTTATTGTTTTCATATTTTGTATTGTAGTTTGTTAGAATCAGAGTCTAGAGTCTAAAACATGGTTCTTATATTTGGAATTAGTTGATATATCTCTGAAGTATCTTCTCATTTACATGTTCTCTCTCTCTCTCTCCTTTCTCCCCTCCCACTTTTTTCATTTGATTTACGATTCTTCTCTTCCCTATTTTCATTGCAATTTGTTTGTTGAAGAAACTGAGTTCTTTGTCCTGTAGATTTCCCATATTATGGATTTTTCTAATTGCATCCCTGTGGTGTTTAATATGTAGCTCTGTATTTTTTTTGTAAATTGATATTAAGACCTAGAGGCATTATCATATTTGAATTTTTAGTTTGGTTTTTCTTTTTCAAGAGTGGTTCATACCAGTGTTGTGTACTTCAGCCAGGAGGTACTAGTGTCTGGTTGTCTCTATTACTAACAGCCATTTGTTGATCAGTGCCTAGATCTATTATTTAAATAGGGGTTACAAAATCGTGACATCCTAATTTTGCTAGACTACTTCTCCAAAGAAAAACTTCTCACCAATATTTGTGTACCTTGATGTAGGGTTCATTCAGGAAAGCCAAGAAAAACACTTGATTCTTTCCCTTTATTTACCAGTTTGCGGAATAATGAGTAGTTTCCCTAGCATCTTCCAAAAAATGACAATGAAGTTATGTGGGGTTTTTTTAAGTACTGTGAACTCTTGGATTCAAATTCATTTGATGGTTTTCAGTTCATTGAAATTATTATCCTTGATTCAAATTTCATTCAAAAAATCCATGTGAAAATCTGTCATAAGAATTATGCGTGCTCAAATGTGTTACCAAATAGTAACCCACCAACCCATTAACTTCACCTACCAGTTAGCTCATTTGTGTGTGGAGTTCAGAATAATGTTCTCCTGCCCTCTTTGTTTAAGTGAATACTGTCCTGAGATGGCAAAGTGAATTGCTTAAAAGCTGTTACATTTTCAGCTCCTTAGCTATTTAAAACTACATTTTCTTGATATGGTGCAATCAATCAAATCAAAGCACAGAAAAAATTAGATGTTCAAGTTGATAGAAGACGATAACTTTTGCCTTAGTTTTTGGTTTTAGAATTTTGTGTTGGCTAAAGTGTCCTTATAGTTCTAATTGATAACATTTATTTATTTTATTTTATTATTATTTTTTTTTTGTGACCGGTAAGGGGATCGCAACCCTTGGCTTGGTGTCGCCCACACCGTGCTCAGCCAGTGAGTGCACTGGCCATCCTTATATTAGATCCGAACCCATGGTGGGAGCGCTGCTGTGCTCCCAAGCGCTGCACTCTCCTGTGTGCGCCACGGGGCCGGCCCTTGATAACATTTATTTTTTATAAATTTATTTGAATAGCAACTTATGAAATAAATTTTTGCTAATATTCTCAAAAAAATTATTATTATTATCAAAGCTCAAATTGTCCCATATTTGGCCATTGGAAGCCTCTTAAAATTAGCCCTGAGTGCTGTTAACACAGTCCCAGTAGTCTTTAATAGCTTCCTTGCTTTGTGGTATAACAAGATGTTCCACGTTCATCTGGTACCTTTCCTGCCCCAGCCCTAAATCAACTCTTTCTCTAAGTAGCTGAAGAGTTAACTTTTAACCAGGAGCTTTATGGCTTTATCTGCCAACCTCATCTTTGTCCATGACCCTTGGTTAATTCAGTTGCTGACCATTTGCAGTTCCAGAGTCCAGAGCAAGCCTCTGTGGCCACCTTGATAGGCAGGGATACCTCCTGCCCTCCCTTTAAGTATTTTGCCTTGAACAAGGACTCAGACCTAAGCATAATTCCCCATAGCACAGATGAGAACTGCTGTAACTTTTAACCAGTCTTAACTGAAAGCTGAGGCATGATGGAGGGAAATTAACTAAAACTAACAACTACCATTAGCCGTAGCTGCTCACAGAAACACGGTCTACTCCATTATTAAGGACTTCTTCATGGCCATGACCAGCTCACCCCCACACCTAAGGACACCCTTGACCATCAGTGAACACCTCAGAGTCTAGACCAGAGACACGAAAGAAAGTCCTTTTGTTGGAGTGAGCAGAACTGAAGCCACGTTGGGACTTAAAACCACATGGGCTGCAGGCAAATTTTAAAAGGACACAGTTTTTTTCTTGGCATGCATTTCTCTGAGTTCCCTCTTTTCCCATGATTATTTGATATTTCAAACCTTGGTGATGGAGTTTGGATGTGTTGTCCCCTCCAAAACTCACGTGGAAATTTGATCCCCATTGTGGCAGTGTTGGAAACTGATTGGGTCATGGGGGCGGATCCCTCATGAATGGATTAATGCTCTCCCTAGGGGAAGGGGAATTAATGAGTGAGTTCTCACTCTATTAGTTACTGGCCAGAGCTGGTTGTTTAATAGACCCTGGCACCTCCCCTCCTCTCTTTTGCTTCCTCTTGCGGTATGATTTGCTTATACCGGTGGCTGCCTGCCACTTTTCGCCAAGAGTAGAAGCAGCCTGAGGCTGATGCAGCCCTCCCAGAATCGTAAACCAAATAAACCTCTGTTCTTTATAAATTACCCAGTCTCAGGTAATTCTGTTACAGCAACACAAAATGGACTAATACACTTGGTTATGGGCAAGATGACATTATTTACATAAATGTAAAGTTGTTTTCCAGCCACCATGAAGCTACAAACTTGCAGACCCTGGGAAACCAAGGAAGACATCAACAAAGCTATGCTGATTCTACCCCTCCAGCAGGACCAAGGGATAACAGCAGGATGGGAACAAAGACCAGAGTCTTGGCAAGACTTTGCATTTGAGACCTTGCATGAAGCCCTCGAGGCTCATGTCCCCCCTCCCTCCTGCTTTTTCTTTTCCCATTTTCCATTCCCTTGGCTCCTCTTTAAAAACCCCTCAGGAGGGGGGCAAAGGAGGAATTGGTAAAGGGTCATGAAAAACGATTACTTTGTGTAATGTTGAGTGTACTAATTATCCTGATTTGAGCTTCACATATTGCACACAGGTATTGATATTCATCTCTGTACCCCACAGATATACACAATCAACTAAGTTTCAATTAAGAAGTAAATAAATAAATAACAGGAAAAAAAAATAAAATAAAAAATCAACACCCCTCAGGAAATCTGAGTCTTTGAGATGGCTTTAGCCTCGCCATTCTCCTTCAGGGTTAGCCCAGCATCTCTCCTCAGGTCACCGGTATTCCTGAGTAGGAACTGACTTCCATTTTCAGTAAAATTTGACTTTTGAGTGGTTTGTTTTTTGAAAGGAGTCAGGCAGCCAGACCTATGTGCCTGGTAACACTTTCCTAAACGCCAACCTCTTCTCCAGCTTAGAAAGTTGTACTTTTCTATCAATTTATTGGACTAAAGTTGTCCTAACTCTTTTTTTATTCTTAATATTAATTATCCATGTCTTCTCTTTTTTTGATTAGTCTGGCCAGAGACATTTTAATTTATTATTCTTTTTTCAAGAACATACTTTTGACTTAGTTGCTGTCAATTGTATGTTTGTTTTCTATTGTACTAATTTCTGTTTTTATCTTATTTCCTTTTTTCTACTTTCTTTGGGTGATTCTGCTGGAATTATCTGTTTGTATGGCACAACTTAGTGTGTATAATATCTTCCATTTGCTCCTCTGGAGGTAATCTGCACCCTTTTCTACCCTGTTCTTTGCCTCAAGAAGATAAATTATTCTCTGCTCT